ATTTTTCCTGTAGGTCTTTCTTTCAAGAAGTATCTTCTGTTCTTTTAGCCACTCCAGGCTGGTCTGCTTGTCCTTTCAAGTGGAAATTTCCCATCTCTGAAGATCTAGATGTGGTTCAGGCTTCCATCTATAGTCTTATGTAATGCAGAGGCTCCACAGGAAGCCTTCTTCACTGGGCACATTGTAGCCCCATTTTAGGTATTACAGTCAATTATAGGCACAAGATGGACTTACAATAGATTGCCTTTTCTTAACATATAATTTTGTATATTATCTATTAACTTCCTAATGACAGATAAATATTTATATCCCCTCTACCACATCTAACCATCCATATATCATGTTCCTATCCTCTTGAATTAGTTATACCACAAGTTAATTATATCACACCCCTCCATCAGTAATTGACAGATCCATCCTTCAGAAGGAAAATTAGTAAGGATATAGTTGACACGAACAGCATCAATTAACTAGATCTAGATGACATTTATAGAATACTTCATATCCAACAAAAGCAGCAAATACATCCTTCTCAAGCTCACATGTAACATGCACCAAGATAGATCACATCCTGGGCCACAAATCACACCTTATCAAACTTAAAATAATAGAAACGATAGGAAGTATTGTCTTGGACCATAAAGGACTAAAATGGAATTCAATAACAGAAAGATCATTGGAAAAACATTATTAGACAACAAGGTAAAATAGCACACTTCTAAATACTACTAGTGTGCTAAATCACATTAGTTTATTCATGCCGAAGTACCTTTGTATATGTGTTAATGTTCTAGATTTTCATTAAAATAACATTGATTTTAACAAAGTAATATTGTATCTATGTAAAGGGAGAAATTTATCTATCTCTGTACTCCAAAGTTGGCAGTTCAAATCTACCAGCTGTTCCTTGGAAACCCTATACAGGGTCACTGTGAGTCAAACCTAACTCTATAACACTTAACAACGACATACTCTACTGTTTTGGCGTTTCTGTTTTGCTAACATTATGTAATAATGAATTGGAAAGGTTTCTTCTATGTTATTAAATATTAGGAATGGATTTAACAAATTATACCTATGCATTAGGATAATTTGTTCTGGGTTTTGTGTCTTGGTAGAAAATGATTAATTTTATTATTTTCTCAATTTAAAATATCTTTAAATATAACGACTTCTTTTAAAACATCATATTTCTATCACCACTTCATTGTTGTTTTTCCCGCACTTCCCCTTGTCGGTGATGAGCGTGGTCACCAATCAGAGTGTGTAATCCCATTGAGTCTTAGTCTTGGAAGGGGGTTTGCACTGAGGGGACCCGATCACTTGCCTTGATGTTTCCTGGGCAAGCAACTTGTTTGTTCTTGTAGTAACAATCCGTCTGCCTCTATTGTTTTGTA